ATACAGCATGTCATAAAAATGTCTCAAAACTATCATCATACAGTATGTCATAAAAATGTCTTAAAACTATCATCGTATAACATGTCATAAAAATGTCATAAAAACATCATATTATAGTATGCCATGAAATGTCGTAAAAATCTCATAGTATAGTATGTTATAAAAAGTCATAGTATAGTATGTCAAATAAATGTCATAAAAATGTCAAGTATAGTAAGTCATAAAGTGTTATAAAAATGTCATGATACAGCATGTCATAAAAATGTCTTAAAACTATCATCATATAGTATGTCATAAAAATGTCTTAAAACTATCATCATATAACATGTCATAAAAATGTCATAGTTTAATATGTCATAAAAATGTCATAGTTTAGTATGTCATAAAAATGTCATAGTATAGCATGTCATAAAAATGTCTTAAAACTATCATCGTATAATATGTCATAAAAATGTCAAGTATAGTAAGTCATAAAAATGTCGTAAAAATATAGTATAGCATGTCATAAAAAAGTCGTAAAAATATCATAGTATAGTATGTCATAAAAAGTCGTAAAAGTATCATAGTACAGTATGTCAAAAAAATGTCACAGTATAATATGTCATAAAAATGTCATAGTATAGAATGTCAAAAAAAGTCATAGTATCATATGCCATAAAAATGTAGAAACATCATAGTATAGCATGTTATAAATATGTCACAGTATAATATGTCAAAAAAATGTCATATTATAATATGCCATGAAAATGTCATAAAAATGTTGAAAAAATATCATCATAAAGCATGTCATAAAAATGTCATAAAACTATCATAGTATAATATGCCATAAAAATGTCATGAAAATATAGTATTGTATGTCAAATAAAGGTCATAGTATAGCATGTCATAAAAATGTCAAGTATAGTAAGCCATAAAAATGTTGTAAAAACATAGTATAGCATGTCGTAAAAAAGTCGTAAAAATATCATCGTATAGTATGTCATAAAAATTCGTAAAAGTATCATAGCATAGTATGTCATAAAAAGTCATAGTATAGTATGCCATAAAAAGGTCATAAAAATATCTTAGTGTAGTATGTCAAAAAATATCATAGTATAGTATGCCATAAAAATGTCATAAAAATATCTTAGTGTGGTATGTCAAAAAATGTCATAGTATAGTATGCCATAAAAATGTCTCGTATAGTATGTCATAAAAACATCATAAAATGTCATAGTTTATTATGTCATAAAATGATCATCAAAATGTCATTGTATAATATCTCATAAAAATGTCATAGTATAGTATGCCATAAAAATGTCGAAAAATATCTTAGTATAGTACGTCATAAAAATTCCAGAATGTCATTATTTGGTATTTTTATGACATACTATACTATAACATTTTTATGACATTTATCTAACTTAATATACTATGACATTTTTATTTATTTCAATTCAATTTTATCTGTATAGCACCAACTAATAATATACATCATCTCAAGGCACTGTACAGGGTAAGGTCAAGACATTGCTTTAATATAGAGATAAAAACAGTTCCCACAAAGAGCAAGAGCAAGCATTTGGTGACAGGGGGGAGGAAAAACTCCCTTTCAATAGGAAGACTTTACATTACATAATTACATCAGTACTCAGTAGTCCTTAATACATTCTTACATCAGTGTTTACTAGTCATTACTACATTATTACATCAGTTCTGTTCATTGCGGGTCTGACCACACCCATCTTTAAACTCTTCAATTTGATCTTAACTACACATGATTAGAGCAAGTGATAGAAGTACAGATGTATCAACTTTTCCGGGACATATGACACTTAATACAAGAGACGATGACATCATGATGAACCATAATAAAATCATCCACATGTGAACTAGATCAACCATGTCTCATGATCTTTATACACAGTGTCATCAAGCTCCAACAGAAAAAAAACAAGCTAGGTAATGAACCTTGAGTTAAGAGTTGAGTTTATCGAAGCCTGACACAGTAGTTAGTAAAGAGCTCGGCCTATGTTGTCACCGTGGCAACACTAAGCCTTGTCTCACTCAGTCACATCCTGGTGGACCCCTGCAGGATGTTTCTGATTTCAGGTCAGATCTGATCAGATTATTTGTCCCTCTGATCTTAAAGGGCCTCAGTTAAAGACCAGAGGGTTTCACACAGAGCTGCTGGATAAAGAGTCTGAGCCAAATAATTCTTCACTTTGCTGTAGAACATTAGACATGACACACAGAGAATAATGAGGGCTGCTCACACACACGTTCTCTGGACCGTGAGAAACATGTTCTTCAGCTGCACCATGTTTGTGTGGCTCACAGTGAACTGATCACATGACTGAACGTCTGAACAACAGTCTGTAGGAAACACAACTCCTCTTCTTCACCTCTCGCCTCTTTTTCATTATAATCTGAGTGAAGTATGCCCCCCCTCCCGTGGAGACGCTGCTCCAGATAGATAGATGGGACTGTGTGAAGAGGAGATGCCCAAGAAAACACTGAGACCACTGAGACCCCCCCCCCCCCCCCCCAGCTCCCAATCAGAAAATCTCATTAAAAACCCTGCAAGCTCACACGGGCTGGCACTTACAGCCAATCGAGCTGTTTTCATTATTCACTGCATTCCTCTTAGCGCTCTCCAAGGAGATGGGAAAGAAAGGAATCTGCAATGGAAAGACTTTTAAAAAGGGTTTCCATTCTGCAGACAGACACAGTAAATCAGGAGATGTCAGGTTCACCTTAAAAGTCTGTCTGAGACATTTTCTCTGTTCATCTGCACAAATGTTTAAAGGTTTCAGGCTGAAAACTGTAAGAGAGAGAGAGGTGTAATGCTTCTAGATTTACACATATTTGATCCTAAACTTTGACCTATTGGTGGCACAATGAAGTTAAGGGATCACCATTGTGAGGGGACCATGATTGTCTGTTCCAAATTGCATGGTAGTCCATCCAATAGTTGTTGAGACATTACCCTCTTGAACGTCACTATGCTGGAGGAAATATCAGAGGATCACCGCAGTTAATGGATTGGTATTTATATTATATTTTATTATATTATACTTGAAGATAATAGATTGATTGACTTATCCATTTAGATACTAACTATACCAAGATGTCAGTACATCTAAATTTATATTTTTCAATTACAAATGACAGCCAGGAAAAAACAATATTTTGTGTTAGCTTTAGCCAAAGCTATCCATCACTAGCTCAGCACCTAGCTCTCACCTGATATGTGTGTCTTGGTTTAGCTGTTGTAGGCAGTAATTAAGTATTTCAGGACATGTTGTGGCTCTAAACTAGTGAAAAGAAGCTTTTGGCTGAAGTTCATGCTTCGGACCTGGAGAGACTTGTGGTGAATCAATAAGTTATTTCAGTCCTGGCAGCTCGAACATCCACCAGGTCCAGAACTCTCTGTCCTGGACTCTTCAGCTTCAGAGTGTCTGTCTCCAGGGGCATCGGGCCAAACGTCTCATTAACAACTGTCTCTGGTTCACCACAGTCCACAGCTGCACAAGCTGCAGAGATGGAGCTGAGGCTGCACTTTGTTCAATCCCCTGGAGCTGTCGTCTCCTCGCTCCTCGATGAGAAACTGTCTGGTCCAGAAACAGCAAACAGGTGTTGGACTGAGTCAGCTGTTCACCTGTCTGTCAGAGAATTAACAGGGAAAGGTCGTCACAGAGAGAATGTGCAAAAACAACCCGCAACAGGAGCACAGAGCCAAGCATATATACACATACATATATACACATACATATGTATATATATATATATATATATACATATACATATGTAGGGAGAGAGAGAGAGAGAGAGAGAGAGAGAGAGAGAGAGAGAGAGAGAGAGAGAGAGAGAGAGTTGGAGAGTCTATGTCAGTTCCTTGATTTACCACAATCATTTCCTCTAAAGTATTTGCAGGCTCTGAAATTACAGCTTTGTAGCTTGGTGGGGTCTCCTCCTCTGAACAGAACCTCCTCCTCCTCTGAACAGAACCTCCTCCTCCTCTGAACAGAACCTCCTCCTCTGAATAGATCTTAGGGAGAGGAGCAGCCGAGCTTTGCCTCATGGTTCATTAACTCTTCGGATGGTTTCTTCATTTTCTTCATCTGTTTCCACTGAAGGATTCTGGACGAGTAGATTTTCAACGTCTGACTAAAACCCCATTGAAACTCAAAATAACACAGATCTACTTCCTATTTACATTTAATTACATTTGATCGTGTTCCTGCTGTGGTTGGTTAAAGTAGAAAAACCACAGTGTAGAAAAATGAATGGATTACCTCATGGGAGAGTCAGGGGTCAGGGGCTCCTGAGCCACAGCCTCTGTTTGAAATGATTGTTTCTTATTTGAAAGTCATAAAACATAAAATAAAGAGACACAAAATGGAGATCAAAAACAAGCAGTAAGAAACACAAAACATCCACAAAGAGACAAAAATGATTCATGACTGACACAAGAGAAATAGATCTAGAAACCACAAGGTCTGGGGAAATTCAGAACATTTGACCTTTAAAAAGAGTCGCTCGTATATTTAACTCTTAACTGTCTTATAATAATCTGTCTTTAAGAGAAAATATAATCTTTTTTTCCAGAAGCTCATTTGTAGCTCCATTGTTAGCATTTAGCTCTCGCTCGGCTGCATGTTTCAGTCACAATCACTCTGCATTAAATATGAGCAGCTCAGGAATAAGCTAATGACCCTCGGGGCTGAAATGGATTAAGTGTTGTCAGAGACTAAAAAGGTCTTTTACACTCAGACAGACTCCGTATAGATTATATATACAGTAGATTAATGTGCTGCGTTCAGGTCTGGGACAGTAATTTATGGCAGCCATTTGAAGTGAGCCAGCAGAGTCTAAAGGACCAGAGCCGTCTGCAGAGGGATTAGACTGGAGTCATGTGGGTATGTGGGTGTTAATATTTATTTTATTTTCAGTATTTTATCATCTGCTTTTGTCTCTGAATTCCACTCAAAAACAAAACAGCTGCAGTTTGTTCCACAGTAAAAATATTAGACAAAATAAAACTAATTTTAACTCCTTTTGTTCTACAGATCTGAGTCTCATTAACCATCAAACACTAATTTATTTTAAATTTGCCTTGTGAGACATTTTAAACCAAAGACTTTATACTCACCTGTAGTGGAGGAAGTATTGCTACCATAAATCAAAGTCCTACATTCATAATTTCACTTCACTATAAACACCAAAGTTTTAGCAGCAACATGTTCTTATAGTATTAAAACTGACTCAATTAAAATGATTTGAAGTTCTAATGAGGCAACAGAATGTTCCCTGTAACAGAGTTATATTATTATTACTAATTAACGTGTACGCTCACTAATGTTTCAGCTGGATGAGGTGGAATAATAACAACTAAATATATACAGCATATTTCATTAATGTTGCTTGTATAATTGTGATGGTAGAAGTATAGAGTACCACAAAATATACAAGTACCTAAAACATGAACTCATGCACAAAACATTTACTTCAGTAACTGTAGTTAGTTACTGCTCACAAACACTGAAACATGAGGAGCTGGTACCTTCAGGCTGGATGCTGTTTTTCTATCAGTGCGATGCTGAAACCTGGTGGTCAAATTGAGGAAGGATGTCAGCAGCTGAAAGCTGTCAAGTACAATGACTTTAAAGAGCTGAGCAGTTTCATGTTGGTTTACAGGGTGAAAAGCAGGATTTCATCCGTTGTCAACAACAACGTGATTATCCACATGACGATGTCTGAACCACATTTATCTGTTTTTCTCCAAGAAATAGAAAAAGCTGCTCATTCTCACATTTGAGAAACAACAAACACTTAATACTCAAAATAGATGCAGATTAATTTACTGTAACGATAATAAAAATATCAGCTAGTTAAAATATGGTTATTTCCATGTGTTTATACAGAATGAGGTCAAGAAGGGAATTTTGTGTATATTAAAAAAGACTGAACAATCAATCACACGTTCACTACAATGACTTTTCCTCAAACAGAACGGGACAGAGCTCAACATGTTCATGACATTATTTATTTGAAGCTACTGCTCCTCTGAAGAAAACAAATCACTGCTGATAAAAAGGTGCCAGATTCACAAATGTTGTACCTGGAGGGAAACTATATCACATACATATTGATTAAACCTGGTCAGCTTTGTCCTGTGACGGACACAAAGCTGCTGTTGAGGCCGGGTCACGAACAGTGGACGCCATGTAGACAGGCACAGGTACAGACAGAGGCACAGGGAGGGAGGGGCTTCTGTCGCTCAGCTGACTCAACACTTCCTCTGACTCTTCAAGTGCGAGTCGATAAAAAGGTAAAACAGAAAAAGTCACATCTCACTCGTTATTCGTCTTCTTCCTTGAAGGCATTTTCTTTCTACGAGGCGCACAGATGGTAAAAATAATAATTATTATAATATCTCCATAATATATAGAGAAGTTCACTGTTCCAAGAAAAAACCAAATGACAGCATGAACGTCCTTTCATTGCACTTCATTGTGTTTTAAAGAAAATAAAGTTGTCAGTTTCAGGTTTGAGTTCATCTTCAGTTGTTGAACTGATGCAAACGAGCTCAGAGTTTAATAGTTATCTGTGAACCTCTGCAAAAATACACAAGGACATGAACATGGAGAATCAAAACATCTGTTTGTCAGAGCTCCACAGAGGAGACAGGAAGCAGCTCGGCCGTCCCTGGTGCAGGGTAACCAGAGGACAGTGAGTGACTCAGACTCAGAACTCGTGACTGTACATAATTAAACATAATTAAACATAAGAACATAAAGAAATGGACAGCAGTGAACATTAATGGCTTTTCCCTTTGAAGCCAGGAGATCTGCCTGGTCAGTTTAAAGTGTCCTGGTGGGGGTGGGGTGTTGGGGTGGGTCCTTGTGTAGTGTAGTTCACAGGGTCAGTGGGAAATGTCTCTGATGGTCACACAGGACATTAGTAGAGGGCTGACGAGGAGCCATGGTGAGACAGGTCAGGATGATCTATGAGGAGCTCTCTGGGGGGGCGACTCTTTGGCGTGCGGCAGTCTTGGGCCGATTTCGAGTTGCGGCGTTCGCTGTACGTTCAGTCTTGGTTTCGGACGGCTGGGTTTCGGCCTGGGGGGTTCCAGCGTCCCCAACAAGTTCACGCAGGAACTTGAACTTGGACAGGAAGAGCTGCCAGACTACGTACCACCCTGAGGGGGAAAGGAGGGAAACGGTCAGGCTTCATAAAGGAACTGTTGAAACCAGCTTCATTTATTAGATCCAGAGACATTCAGAGCTGCGCATGTGTTTACCTGAGAGATAAAACCCACCAACCTTTGAGAAACACAGACAACACTTACTCACTACTGATTTCAAGGAATTTCAAAAACTGTACAATTTCCAAAATAGTTACTGATTCATTTTCTGTCAATCACCAATTGATCAATCAACTCATCATTGCAGGTCTACACTGCACAGTAATTCATATTTTTAATCCAATCCCAAAGTGTAACTGTCTCCTAATCCAAACTAAAACAGTAGCTACAAATGACACATTCTTACTCAATTGGTACAAGTTAAACTAAAACGAAACACAATATTTGTCAATATTAATGTTGCTTTTATATTTTCATACAAAATGAGAGAAGGAGATACGTAATTGTACATGTCAGCTGCAATGATTAATTGATTAGTCAATAGACAGAAAATAAATCAGCAACTATTTTTATTCAGATTTATCGTTTTCCAAACATTTGCTGGTAAAAGCTTCTCAAAAGTGACGATTAGCTGCTTTTCTTTGTCTTATCTGATTGTAAACTGAATATTTTTGTTTCTTGATCAAATTAAATTAAATTTGAATACATTAGTTTGGAATTTGGGAGATTATAACATGTTTCACTATATTCTGACATTTTAAAGACAAAGTTATTAACTGATTAATCAAGAAAATAAGTGGCAGATTGACAATGAAAATAATCATTAGTTGCAGCCTAACCCTAACCAAGTGCTAAATCTTATTTTTTTTTCTCACAGAGGGACAGAAGAGTCTTATAGCATTGTACAGAAAACAGCTGCTTTACTAATTGTAATGTGTATAATGTAATTTTAAAGTAATTAGCACCAACATTTAACATTTAACCGTTTTTCTGGGTACAGGAGCTATTTCGCCCCACGTATTTATTTTTATTATCTTTCTCTTTGTGACTTATTGGATTAAATTGCGGAAAGTATTTCTTTTCTCATTTATGAAAAAATTCAATGATTAAATAGAGCTATTGTATATATTAGTTTTGTGTTGGTTGTTGTGCATGGTAGGGGTTGTATTGTGTTTTGTGAGTATGAATGATATGGATGTGTATTGATGTATCTGTTGTTACTGAAGTATTGTTTATGAATTTAAGGGGACCCCAGGAAGAGGAGCCATTGTTATAGCACAGTAACTAATGGGGATCTAACTGAATAAATAAAAAGAATTTCCCTGCTCCACTTGCACCTGATCACCTGGATCAGATGAGTGAGGTAAAAGCTGATCAGGTGTAGACAGAGGAGGGAGGGGAGCTGAGGCTGAAAACATTTTTCATGACATAACATTTTAAAGTGAAAATACAGCACCTCATAAAGATTTAATGCAGTTTAGATTCTTATCTATCACAGTATGCCTTCACTCTGCAGCATTAAACAATGAGCCAAACATGAAGAAGCATCTTCACAGGTGAGAGGAACAAGGAGCAAAGTTAACGGATAAATAAAAACTGTCATGACACTGTTTTCAAATAAATCCTCACTTTACTTTTAGTGCCTAAACGCTTTGTCAGTCTGGACAGAGGACACATGACACATGATGGTGGACTAACAGAAACCTTCTCCTCAGGGTCTGAAGATTAGTGACTGTCTGTAGAGGAGGCACAGAGGAGCAGCCATGATGATCTGACTTCTCATGACTAAAATAGAAACTCTTAACTGAAATCTAAACCAGTCACAGACTGTCAGTCCAGTCTGACACGAGGAAACATTAAAGGAGCAGTTCCACATTTAGGAGGAAACTGTTTCTCTGAGTCCGCCTTCAGTTCATGTCTTTGTTACTGCTGCCTCTTATTAGCAGCTGCTGAAGCTCCGTCAATCCATGAGTCACAGACAGATTACAGACAGATGAGTCATCGATGAAATTTGTTGTCTCTAAACTCACCAAACAGCATGAAGAGCAGCGCACACACCAGAGTGGCCACAATGACCAGCAGCGTGAGCCCGACACTCTGCCACATCTTAGCTTGAGTTCTGACGACAGAGACACCAGCATTAACGGCGGGAGGACGGTGTTGTTCTGCTTCACACAGTCACACAAAGAACAGTTTCCCACCCGGCAGCTGAGTTACAGAACCAGCCGCGACCAGGGAGAGAGAAACAAACAGCAGCACATCGCAAACTCACACCAGCGTGTCTGCTAGCGTGTAACTAGCTAGTTAGTTAGCTAGCGGGTTGACGACCGGAGCCGCAGTAGTTTCACAGACGGTCCCCTGTAGCATTAGCTTACGTTAGCTAACGTTAGCCGGTCACAGCAGGTTAAAGTCCTTCTTCTACGAGCTACATCACTGCGACATGTAACAGTTAGCTCTCACTGGCGACACAGCACAACACGATCTGGGTTAACACAACAAAGTCAGCGTCATGAAGCCGACTCAGACTGCGACTGCGCAGAGTACAGCTGACTTCTGGGTAATGTAGTTGATTTCAAATTTCAGCTTTTTTTTCAAATGCTTTATTATTCAAAAACATTTTCCATCTTACCAAAACAAATAAACATTGAAATGGAGTAAAATATGAACAATACATACAAATAAAATAAACACAATAAAAGGAAATAAATGCAACATATAAATAAGGATGATGAAACAAAAACAATAAAAGTATTTCAAAACAACAGAGGGACAAATTTAATCTTGAATTTAGTTTTACCTGGTGCCTCTCTGTTACAGAAATAGTTTGTTGATGCAAACAAATATTTCACATTTCACATAAATTAATAAAAGTCAGAGACATTGTTGTTACTATGAAAAACAAAATGTGTTCAGAAAAAGAAATGAGGTCTGCACCAAACCTTCAAAGTAACAGCTGTTAAAACCAAATGATAATGATTCTATTTCAAATCGGCAAAATGTGCATAAATGAGGAATATCAATATATTTAGCTGTGAAATAATGTTTCTGTTTTCCACTTTATTTTATATTGAAATTCCCACATTTCATTTTTTTTTCATGTTAAATTTCTTTTCTTCTTCTTTTATCTTTTTTTTGTTTTTGAACAAAATGTCATTTCTTCATCAGTCCAGCAGGAGGAGTCATCATCAAACCTTTGAGTTACATGTTTTCCAACGGCAGCTCATGATGTCACATTTGCTGCCTTATACTTAGTTTCCATGTTAACAAAGCTGCTGAGGCATAATGGGAAGGCAGAGGAGTTTGTGACATGACGTAGACTCAGTGTTCACCTCCACCTGTCTGTCACTGTCTGTATCTGTAGAAACAGCGGGTCCTGGCGTGTTGTATGTATCCTCCCATTTGTCCCAGCCTCAGTATTTGCATATTAAGGTGCAGAGAGAACATGAGTCATGCTGCAAGATGGAATTTAAAACATGTGCGAGGTGAAGAGTGAGTCCAGCCATGTAACTGAGACACTCTGACTCTGTTGTCTCTTCTAGTTTATCACTCTCATGTCTGATAATGTTGCTGTGGAACTGTTTGTTCACACATCGACTTCAAAAGTGTCAAAGTTGTGTTTGCAGCTTACAGAAGTATTACAGTTCAGCTGTGTCAGTATAAAAATATTAATTGGATTGAATGATCCTTTACAGAGTGTCTTCTTCTTATATAGGCCTATTCTATATTACTGGAAAATAATTACTGATATATTAACACGCAGCAGCTTTTTAATGTTACAGCAGGTTGAGGTGGATTTTATTTATTTATTGCACACTGTAACTCATAGTGATACATCAGTGATATGTGAATAAATGTACTTGGTTTCCACCACTGATAAAATCACATGGAATCATAATATATTTTTACATATACACGTACATATAATACATGTTCGTAGCATGTTAAAAGTTCATTGCCCTCTTTTATCAATCAGTTATTACTATTTATTAATAGTTTTATTTCATGTTTGACTGTTATTTTAAACACTAAAAAATTTATTTTATCTGATGTTATTTACACTGTGTTGAAATTAGACAGGAAGACATTATGAGTCGTGTGTGTGTGTGTGTGTGTGTGTGTGTGTGTGTGTGTTATCTTATTCAACATCAATACACCGCAGTGTCAGCAGGGAAAGTACAGTTAGAGCAGATCAATGGAAAACTGTTTCCATCGATGAGTCATAAACACTTCAGTCAGAGGTTTTTTCCCTCCAGCAGCTTGTTGCTGTTTGTTCAGTGTAACATTATCTGATTATTAAATTCAACATGTGCCTCAAACACTGTGGATGGACGTCAGTTTTACGTTCTAAAACCATTAAAAAATGCTGCTACACTGTCTCATTTAAATCTAAACTGAAATCTTTCCTTTTTAGCCACGCTTTCCAATCCTGAAACTACAGAAGTGCTCCTCGTCTCTTAGACCAAGCTCCATTGCTTTGTTTGTCTCTGTGTATATGAATGGAGATGAGACTGAAACGTTTAGTTCTGCTGCAGAAGAAAGAATGTGGCTTGGTGGAGAACAAGTTGTAACAGCTCATGTTTGTTTTAATCTGCTCCAGCTGTGACCTGTGGACTGTGATCAGATATATAAATATATATAAATACTCCACCTGTCTGCATCTGGTCACTGATTAAATTATTAACTCTACTTTTACTAACTGTTCTTACATTTAAATGACCTGTGCTTCACTAGAGACTAAAGAGCCAGCTCCACACAGTAAAGAACAAGGCATTAGTAACAACGATCTATTTATATATAATAGGCTACATAATGTTTTTTATCAGAAATAAAAAACTTAAATCATATTAAATATATGTTTTCGACTGTTGGTTGAAAAACAATTTAGGAAATGGTAATTTGTGTTTTTCACTATTATCTGACATTTTGTAAAAAAACAAACCATTAATCAAATAATGAAGAAATAACTGGCAAATTATAAAATAATAAATAATGTCTAGTATCTGTCTCAGCTCAGAGACACAAAACAAGCTTCAGGTATGAAAATCACTTTCTGTGTCTGGTTAATAATACAAAGGGTTTAGTGTGTGTGTGTGTGTGTGTGTGTGTGTGTGTGTGTGTGTGTGTGTGTCAGGAGGGCTGAGCAATATGAACAAACTATTATTATAACAAATGCAAAAGCATTAAATTAAATAAACATAACTGGGAATATAAAACATTATAAGCTTGTTTTTGGTTTCAAATCTCGTCTGTGAGATTAATCATTTTATTTAATGTTATTAATTGTGCATTACAATAACAAACCTTTATTATTATTTCATCATGACACATTAATTGAATGGTTGGTCCAGGTTAATTATGACCCCAGCCAACGCTGTATCTGGCTGTGAGAGTGTAAATGGTGACAGTGCCAATATGACACAGAAAGACATTTATACATTCATCTGATCCATGTCACTTTATTCAATCAGTGATCACTTTAATAGGTACAACTGGACAATCTAACACAATAACAGCTATAGTATCTATTATTACAGAACTCATAATGTTCAAATGTTTTTGTGTAAATTCAATTATATTTATTTCTGAGCTCAGAGTTAGAAAAGGTGTTGTAATTAATATTAAACATGTAATTAAGTAACACCTCTATGACTCATCATCATTAGTTGTATTAGACTGTACAGGTGAACCTACCTCAGTGAACACTGACTGTTAACCCTTTAACCTCAAGTGACATGAACTCAACTTTTCTTTTTACATTTTTTAATAAAAGATACAATTTGTATCAACTGATTTTTGCCTCTTATTTGACCCAGTTCACTGAAGCAACATTCAAATACAATTTATAACAAGGTGGATACCACAATACAAAACACACAAACTCAAGTTTATCACAGTTTCTCTTCAGTCTTCTCACTGCAAGACTGGGTTCAGACTGGACCGGTCTAATGTCTGGACCGGTCTCATCTCAGAGACCGGTTCTGACCCTGCAGCATGAGGATCTCAGCGACGAGCATCTGTGGATCCATCATGTGAGGAAACATGTCCATGGCCGTGTCGACCAGGTGTGCACTGAAGATGGCGAGGAGCTTCTTTCGGACCACCTCTCTCTCCTCCCTGCTGGGACTCGGTTCCCACTGTGAGCGCTCCCCCGGCTGGCTGCGGACTGCTGGACGTCGCCCCCCGAACGGATCCGACCAGAACATCTGCTGCTGGCATTCGTGGACTCTGCTGTGCTGGAAGTCTGTCGGCTGGCTGTAGGCAGGCACACTGAGCGGGTACAGCCCGTAGCCCTGGTACTGAGGGGGGCCGTAGGGGACCATGTCAGGGCTGAGGCTGCTGACCGGCTCGATGCTGTGAGGCTGGTTGTGGTGCTGGAAAGCTGGTAAAGGAGGACCATGTGAGCAGCAGCTGCAGGGGGCGCTTGTTGGGGGGCAGTACTGGGGTCGGGCACTGTGGTTCCGCTGGCAGCTCCTGAACGTCGGCCTGTACTGATGATCACACTGGTTCCACGCAGCCTCCTTTAGCTGACTGTCTATGGAGCCTAGACCCGAGTCCAGCTGCTCCTGAGAGCCGCCACCCTGCCCGGAGCTGTGGTTACAGGACGAGTGCTGGCTGGGCTTCTCCTTCCTCGATGTGGTCCTCCTGCTGGAGCGCTGACTTGGCTTCACCTGAGCTACATGTTCATGTTTATGATCCTTCTTCACGGAGCCGCTCTCATGTCCCAGAGTCAGTTTCTTGGCCATGTCCTCCACCAGCAGGAGGCTCTGTCCGGGCTGAGGACTGGAGCGAGCTGAAGGTTGTTTCTGAGCAGGTGAAGGGTGTTTGGTGTTTTCACGAAGCTCGTCAGCTACTGAGCGACTCGACTGTTTGGCTCGTTCAGGGTGGTGGAATTTACATTTGACTCCATACGTACATTTCTTTCCTGAAAGAAGAACACTCAGTTTACGGCTGTTACTTGTAATCTAACCCTAACCATAATAGCTGTTAGCTGTTAGCTAACCCTACTACAATATCAGATTCCTCATCTTAAAGCATCACAGCAGTTGTTTGGTTTGGTTTGGTTTGGTTTGGTTTGATTCACTACAAATATTATCACAGTTAACTAACTGCTAATGTAGCTGTGCTTTAACAAGACATTGGAGCTTTTAGCTCAAGGCTAATGTCAGCATGCTAACATGCTATAATGTTTACAATGTTCAACATGTTAGTTTTTTGTGCTAGTATGCTAAAGTTTGCTAAATAGCACTGAACAGAAAAGGCTCAAAGTATTAAACACTGATCGTGGTTCCAGAGGAAAAGAGAATCACTAAAGTCATTAGGATTCATCCTCTGGGAACCATGAATGTCTGTACTATATTTTATAGCAGTGGTGGACTCTGCTGTTAGTGTGGCTCAGACCATTAAACCTGAACCAGGTGCCAGTCTCTGCTGACGTTCTCTCACCATAAGGACACTGCTGTTTCTTCTGAGTCTTGGGAAACCTCCGCAGGAAGTTCTCCAAGGTCGGTCCATGTCGACCC